TGGAAGGCGTCCGGTGTCAATGGCAGGCTGCAAGAGGGGCAGGAGCGCGTGATCCAATTTTGGGATAATCCTTCTCAGATCAGGGTGGTGGAGAAGCGGGATGGAAATGGACGGGTTAGGGAAATGGAGTGGGTAGGCCAGACTTCTCTGAGTAGTCTGCCCATCGACCCAGTAGCCTGGAGTTGGCCTGAAGGCAAGATTTCAAGATCGCATCCACAAGGGCTTAACCGAGTGACTCATACACCAAAGGAATCCTACGGTCTAGCAATGAAACAGCGAAGAACTCCAGCATCAGTAGCGATAGCTCGTTGGGAGTCGGTCCTGATGGAAGACCTTCAAGGAGCAGTCAAGGACTTCGAGAATCTGTGGAAGGTACTGGGCGACCTCCCTAATGTGAAGCAAGCAGGCATCTTGTGGATGCTCTCACTGTTGGTTACCCCTTCGGCAGTGTGGCTCTGTGGAGGGGGGGTAGAGGTAAGTCTGGGCTGCACCCGCTGCACTTGGCCGTTTGAGTCGACACGGCACTTGTGGTGGGAGTGCCCAGCGTCGAAACGCATTTGGCGTTGGTGGGAGATTCATTGGCACCTGATGGGAGGAAGTGGAATTGAATGGAACGAGAAGTGGGTTCTACTAGGATTTGTCCCGGAAGGAACCACAGGCTGGAGGGGGTGGCCGTACGTAGCCCAAGTGGCAAGGGCAGTAATCTGCTCGGTAATCTGGGCGGACCGTAATTGTTCAAGATTCGACAAGAGACCTCAGACCATTCTCAGACAGAGAGATCAAGGGAGCAGTAAAGAAGGGCTGGAGGGAAGCGATAGCAGTGGACTGGCGGAGGAAAGCCAGGAAAGGTAAAGCCTGTCGTGCTTCTTGATGGTGGTTCCTGAAGACCTGGGCAGTGAATAATCAGTTGGCAGGAGTGCATAGTACCCGCGGTCTGATTTATGGCCCATGGCTAAGAGGTTGAGTGGGGTAGCTTAGACAGGGGAATAGGTGGGGGGTAGGAGTAGGATGAACCAGGGCACTCGGTTCCTGTTGGCGGTCACAGGAGGCTGCAAAGGGTTGGGCAGGGAGGAGAGTGTCAGGGCTAATAAAGCAACCTAGTGGTTCCTCTCTGTCGGGATAGACCGGGTCAGACCGTTAATTTGTAGGTCTGTGGATTAGGATAGGTAGCTAGGTAGCTTGATCAGTTGTAGGAGAGGAGAGAGAGAAGTGAGAAGAAAGCCTAAAATCTGACTGACGGAAAAAGGGATCATAGCAAGTTCTTGCCTTGGAGTGAAGTGAGTAGATATCAATGGTTTAATCAATGGTTCTTCAAGCTGCCGGGATAACTCCGGGTTGAATTGTGGGGTCCCCGGCCTCGATTCATTTTGGAATTGAAATGGAATGTGTTTTGGTAAAAAACCAAAAAAAAAAAAAAAAAAAAAAAAAAAAAGGTCCAAGTTGCAGGCTGGGAAACGAGCCCGTCTCGAGAGGAGGTGTAGAAACCCTTTCCCTGACAGCTCCTGAATTTTTTTTGCATCTCGGATCTTTTTTTTTTTTTTTTTTTTTGAAAAGACTATGGGCCTCGCCACACCAATGTAGAAACGGTGAAATTTTTGACAACTGTCAGACCATTTTCGACATTCACCGTTTCGACACAATGGCCGCCTTCGCCACACCGTAGTTTCGTTTTAGAAAAGGGAAAAAAAACAAAGAGACAACTCCGCCGGTGACCGCTGCACAGTTTCGAACTCGCAGGAACAACAGTCCACTCCAAGTTTGGGCGAAGACAAGTTCGAAACTGCAAGGAAAACAGAGAAGTATGCGCTCGACGGCCTACCGGTTCAATAATTCGCAAAAACGGGAGGTGGCCTGGGCTAGTGGTACCGTTCCTATGCCCTGGCGTGGCCTGGCGCGGCAGGTACCGGTAGCAGGCCCTCCCGTTTTTTACCTCTGGCGGGACGCCGTTCGGGCGGGTAGCCGAGGTGCCCGATTTCTTCTTGCCCTGTAGGTCCATCTGTGGTGCCCGATTTCTTCCCGCCCTTCC